TGCCGGACTCGACCTTTAATCTTACTCTCAGCCTCTAGGGAAATTCCTCTATCTTTTATCCATTTTTTCCACCTGGCCTATGGGGATGGCACAAACCAGGTCTCAGAAGTAGGCAGAAAGTAGATAAGGCGGAAAAAAGAGAAAAGAAAAAAGATCTGAAGGAGTAAGGAAGATGGGCGGTGGTGGGGTGGGTGGGGGAGTGTATAAATTAAAGAATCAATGAGAGACTGGGAAGGAGAGCATGACACTTGCCCTTTGGGCAGATCTGTCACAGCTTGACCTGCAAAGGTCAGACCTGTAATCCCTTAACTGTGAATATACACCTATCTTTATCAGGCATGAAGTTTCAAGTTAGGAGGCAAGATTTAAACCCCTTGGATTCATTAGTCAGTTTCCAGAGAGCTCCCTTTCTGCTATAGAGCTTATTGCCCAGGAGACAAAGCTGCCTCTTCACTCTCCTAATTTACCCCCGCCTCTGTCAGGTCCACTATGCTTGACACAGTACTAAAGTGTTGGCCTTGCTTTTACCACCCTCAGTGTCTTTTTTTTTTTAAGGTTTTTTGTTTTTTTTTTTTAGCATACTTGTTAATCGCCTTGTTTTTTGTATTGCTGAGTTTAAACTTTTTAAAATTTATACGTGGAACTGAAGTGATATATGTGTTTAGGTAACTAACTGAAGTTTTTAAAGTGCAGGTTAGTTATGTATTTCAGTGACACCACTTCCCTATACTTGAATCAGTCCATGCATTCCTAGAGAGCATCCACACTGCACTCACAGTCAGTGACTCCCTGTGGGGAATTTGGAAGTTATGGTCCTTACCCACGTGGAACTTAATTGTTACTTGAAAACAAAACTGCAGTATGTAATGATGGCACGGAAAAATAAAAATAAATTATATGATTTACTTCACTTTACTGAAGATTGTGAATTACTCCTCTTTTGTTTTTCTGTGTTATTTTTAAGTCAACCCAGATAAATAAGTATTAATTTCTGAAAGCCAGCTTCTTTCACGAGTGCTTAGAAAGCATTAGGACAATCATGAGTTGTATTTACCTTTCAATATGTGAAGGCAGAAAGACTTTTTCAGTTCTGACTTCATTTAAGCTGGGTGTTTTTTCTTTTCACATTGCCAAGTTTATCTGCCTAATTTTTGTTCTGGCATCTGTTTCTAACTACTAGAATGAATAGTCTAAATTGAAATTTCCATTTCCTCACGAGACTAACTTTCATCCTTAACATTCTTCTGAAACTGCTTGTACTCAGATCATAAATGACTTTCTTGTTGCTGAATGCAATGGTTACATTTCCATTAAACCATCTTTCTGTTTGATTTGATCTGCCATTCACTCTCATCTTCTTGATACCCTTCTCTCCTTAGTTGCTATGATGGCCATCTTTCCTCTTTCATTTTTGTCCTGCCTCTATAATTGCTCCTTCTCAATCATCTTCCTAGACTCCTCTTCCTCTGACTATTTAAAAAATATTGGTATTCTCCAGTGTTTGTTCCCCAACTCCAACATATATCTCTTAGTTTGGACCTCTTTCCTTAGCTTCTAACCTATATTAATCTACTTATTGGACATTTTTACCAAGTTATGGTACCTCCCCTGTCCCTATGGTACCTCCCCTGTCCCTAAATCTGGTCATTCATCTAGCCATATCTATTGTATGGCTAGGACCATCTCCAAACCATCTCCTAACCTCTGTGGCTCCACTGTGATTGCCAATACTGCCAAAAGGTCCTTGTCCTAGACTCTGCTCCTGAAAGTGTCCCACTCTGGCTGTCTTTCCTTCAGCTTTGCTATTCCCTATGGTCTGAGGAGTCTGTAGGACCAAGGAAACGTGCCTGTCCTGTCTACCACATTCTAGCTACACAAGACCCCAGAAATCCCTGCCAACAGAAATCCCTGCCAACAGACCTCCTTCACAGGTCTCTTCTTCCAAGAGTGGACTGTATCCTTGGTGGGTACTCTCTAGGCCCAAGAGACAGCTGTTTGGAAGCGGGTAGGTAGAGCTTTGATGGAGTTGGAACTTCAGGTCCACATACATACATGTGAAGCCCCTGATGTTGTAGATCAGAGCTAGAGGTCAGAAGAGAGAAGAAGAACATGCAGAGACCTCCATTGGTACTCTTGTCACAGGCCCCAAAAACATTAGGGACAGGACAAATTATTGCCTTACTTTTCTTTATATTCCTAGTACAGTGCTAGTAGGTGATACTTCAGGCTAGTAGGAGATTCTTAAGGGCAAGGACTTTTTAATTTTATATTCCTAAATGTTTAGGCCAGTCACAATGCTTACCCAATACACAGTGAATACTCAGTACATGTTCGTTGTCTGAGTTAAAAAACACAGCTTGTACTCAACAGTTTATAATAATTTCATCTCCTTAATTGTCATGATAGTGTATTATAATGTTTATATGATTTTATCATATCTTACGGCCAGCATTTTTCTAGAAAAACATACCTCTAATTTTGCATTACCATTAAATGGGGAAAATAGATTTTATATATAAAACTAAATTTTATTTTTAAATATCTTTTTACAAACAAATTAATTTCATAAAATGGGATGAATTAATGGTAGGTAGCAGAGAATAGCATCAAACAAATGGGAAGAATGAAACTGGGTTTTCATGTGTGTTTTCCCATGAATTCAGAGGGTAACCCCGAGATTCTGTAGGTCCCAGTTGTCCTACTGAGCTCATTTGTGAGGAGGGTATGTTTGACTTTTAATGCAAAAATCACATGAGTACTTAAAATTAGAGTAATTTTAGAATACCAAATCAGCACGTTTTAATTCCTGAAATGATTTTTCACTCTGATAATACATGTGGCCCCCCAAACTCAGTGATCTTGTAGGCCTAGAAATGTCCTTAATGTCTTACCTGCTTTGGATTCTACTTTAGCACATGTACCATGTTACAGTGAGGAATATTTGGACCTGAGAATTAACTGGACTTGGATAATCCTTAACATTACTGCAAGCTCACACATTCTATGACTCTTATATTTGCTGCTTGGAGAATAGTCTGTTTTTGATCCATGGAGGGATAACAAAGAGTTAAACCATGAAAATATTTGAGTCTTATACCTTAATTCTTAGGATTCATATTTTATCAACTTTTTCGTTTTATTTTTGTTTTTTTGATATGTCATTTTTTTCAATGTTCTCCCTCTGTGCTTAACATTTTTAGGCCTAATAAAATGTATGCATTCCAGCCCTTCTCCTTCTAAACGAGTCTTTCAGGAATTCCTCATTAAAAGTATTAAATATCAAAGCAGTTACCTTTATGAGCCATCATGGGCTGGCTGTCTGTTGTGCCATCACAAGTCATGATTAAGGGAGTCATGATTAAAACCACTTAATGACATTGTTTCAAGAATATTTCTACGCTGAAATTGCTGTGTGACAGCTTGGGATTCACTGGGCTTTTGAAGGAGGCATTTGGTTTATAAACAGTTTAAATTGTTTTTGTCATCTAGAAAATAGTTCCCCTTATACAAGAAGATTTTTAAAGGTGTTTACTTTTCTTGATTTAGTAATGATGCTTGGAGCTATTTTGCCTTCAAATGATTTTTCCAACATTTACAAAGATGTGAGCAGACCTAATTCACATCTTTCACTCCCTTATGCTTCTATATTAGGACCCACTCACTTATGCTTCTATATTAGGACCCACTCACTTATGGGTCCTAATATAGAAGCATAAAGATGTGTGGGTTCTATTAGGACCCACACATCTTTCACTCCCTTATGCTTCTATATTAGGTCCCACTCACTTATGCTTCGATATTAGGACCCCTACCTCTTTCTCATATGCCTGTTTATTACTTCTTTCTGCATTCAAAAAATTGTTTCGAAGTATTTTGAGGTGGCAATTGTTTAAAAAGAGGATTTGACACTCACGTGGTGATTAAAAAGCAAAACAAACACTACCTTTTTCTCATATGCCTGTTTATTACTTCTTTCTGCATTCAAAAAATTGTTTCGAAGTATTTTGAGGTGGCAGTTGTTTAAAAAGAGGATTTGACACTCACGTGGTGATTAAAAAGCAAAACAAACAAGCAAAAAGTAGTTAGTATCATGTAAATGTCACATATACTGTCCCTGCCCTTTCCTCTACCTCCAAGGCAAAAGAGGTGGACTCACCACCTCCTTTTCTTGTCTATGTTTTTTTGGACTTCTGGCTTCTTTTTCAAGGCTACTCTTGAATTGGATATGTAGGTTGGGGGTGGAGGAAGAAATGTGGGGAAAGGGTTTGGTTAGCAAGGAACAGGATAAAGTACTAAATAGAATACTGAGAAAAGATACCTTCTCCTAATAGATGCTCTGTACATGCTTACTGAATTTAATCTCCTCATATTTTATGGGAGAATAAATGGAATCCCACAAAGATAGTTGCAGACCACGTCCTCTGATTCTTTGACCAATTACTCTTCTATTAGAGATACTATAATGACTATTTTCTTTTTTTGTAGTTCTGTCGCTAAGCACAGAGTAGCCGTGAAATGTTGAGTTCAACTGTATTATTTGTAGGACTGGTGGCACTAACTAGGTCTTTTTATGTGTGGCAATCTAATAGAATATGGGTTTTGGAGTCAGACCTGGGTCTAAATCTCAGCTTCACCTGTTAGCACTTAGGCAAGTTTCTTAATCTTTCTAAGCCGAGGCTCTCTCATCTTGATAAATGAAAGATAAGATTAGCTTCCACATGGTGTTGTTATAATAAATAAAACAAGGTTATTTGAAAGTATTTAGTTTGGTATGCAGCACAAATCAGAGGCTTCAGTAAATATTTATGAAATGAATAAGGCATAACTATTACTATATTTGATCTCCTTTACAGAGAGTCAACATACTTTACCCTGCAGGTGTGGCATATTCTTTATAGATATGTATTCTTATTACCCAAGTTAACTGCTATTTAGCTAATGTCTTTTTGTCTAGAAAATGCTTCACCTACCTCACAGCCTTTTAATTTGTTTAATTCCAGACTAATCCATGGAGGACAGATGTTAAATGGATTAGCAGGTCCAACTGTAACGAATGCAGCTCCATTCCTCTCCACTACATGGTTTTCTGCAGATGAACGGGCTACTGCCACAGCTATTGCGTCAATGCTCAGTTATCTTGGGGGAGCATGTGCATTTTTAGTTGGACCACTTCTTGTTCCAGCTCCCAATGGGACGTCGCCTCTTCTTGCTTCCGAGAATAGCAGGGCCCACATTAGAGATCGCATAGAGAATGTATTATATGCAGGTATTTTGAAGTTTCTTTTCTTCCCGTTATACTTTGTCTTTTATCCTAGTCATCTTCACTTTGGTTTTTGTATACCAGGTCACATCTTGTGAAATACTTAAGAGGACTAATATATACATATGCGTATACGTGCTTTTCTTGTCACCTTATATGGAGATGCCTACTTGAAACTATCTAAGAAGTTATTAAGTTTTCAATGTATAAGTGCTACATGGAAGGTTATTTCTTTACTTTTCCCATCCCTTTACAGTTAAGCACTGTGTAACACATTGTCTAGTGTCTTTTCTAGATATTTTATCAATATATTAAACTAAACATTATTATCAACAGTAAACATTAGCTAAGCAACTATTGGTAGATGTTAAGCTTGTTTTCTTCCTTACAATTCCCCTTTATTGGCCATGTTCTCTAACCTAATAAATCTGGGTCACTCATGGTTTATTCTTCTCTTCATTTCCTAGTCTCTGTATGTTTAGTCTACTAATAAGGGATGTCTACTTTTCCAAAAAATTCTCTTGAATCCTTTCTCTTTATTTCGAGAGCCAAACCCTAGTCCACTCTTACATTATAGTCTCTTACAAATCTCCTTAAATATGTTCCATCACCCCATATGGCTATTTATTATTTCCTTCTGCATTCAGAAAACTTTTTGTAAGTGTTTACTATATACCAAGCACTGTGCTAAGTGCTGGGAATGGGTAAGATCACTGATAAGATAATTATACTACGATTAGAGATATACAGAGTTTGGAAGGCCTAACTGGTCTAGATTTGGAGAGAAGTTGAGGAGTCAGGGAAGGCTTCATCAAGAATGTGATAATTAAACAAAATTAAGAATTTTGTAGGCGTTCACAAAATGTTCAAGTGAGTTAGGGTATTCTGCATAGAAGGGCCAGAACTGCAAGAGCAGAGAAAGTATGAGAGAGCTCAGTATGTCTAGGGAACTGAACGTAATTTGGTATGGCTAGAGTAGTGTAAATATAGGTGTTTGGGTGTCGGTAGCAAGTGGCAGAAAATGAGACTGGAAAGATAAGGGACCAGATTATGATGAACTTCATATTAATTCATTTATTCACTTATCAATTTAACAGATATATTTTGAGCTTCTATGTATCTGTCACTGAGGTAAACATGGTTCCTACCTTTATAGAATTTATAGTGTCCCAAATGATGCAGACAAGTAAACGGTCATAAAACAAAGTGGTAAGTGCTATAAGCAAAGGCCTACAATTGCTGGGACAGCTCAGAGGAGGAACACCTAACCCAGATTTTGGAGGTCAAGTAGAACTTTCTCAATATGCAGCATCTAAGTTGGAACTAAAGGATGAGTGAGAATTAGGCTAATACAATGGGCACCCAGTAAGGGAAGAGAGCCTGCTACATTCAAGCAACTTAAATCCCAGAGGGGCTTAGATCTGGTGAAAGTATTGATAGATGAAGCTAGAGAAGTAAGCCAGGCCATGCAAGCCTTCTCAGCTGGGCTGAAGGATTCCAAGTTCACCACGTTGCAGGCAAAGGCCACACTCTGAATAATTTTGCACTACAGAGTTATGTGATAAGATTTACATTTAAAAATATGATTTAGAAGGAATAAAAGTAAAGCAGCAATAGTGACAATATACAAAGTTTTTAATACCCCTATAGACTCTTTTTAAAGAAAAAAAATTCAAATGTAAAATAAGTAAGCAAATAAATAAAACCGAAAGCAGATGAAACAAAAATTTAAACTTTATTTTGGTTATATCTATATTTTTATTGAAAACTTAAACGATGTTTGTATCTTTTAAATGACTAGATTTTAGGCACTATTGGGCATGTATTGATTCTCTACAGTCTTCTGGCTTAAGGTTCCTATGCATTCAAAAAGAAGCCCCTACTCAAAACTTCCCAGTTATTACTTCAGTGCTTTCATATTTGCCATCTGCCTTTCTGAAATATTGTTTCATGAACCTTCATTCCATGAAAAATATTATGCTAGAATCGCTACCTTAGAAGTTGATGACTCTTAAACTAAATCATTCTAAAGTCATCATAAACTATAGGCCAGTATCCTTTGTGAATATAGAACTACAGGTCCTGAACAAAATACAGCAAACCAGATCCAGTGACACATAAAAAGGATTATACACCATGACCAAATGAGATTTATTCCTAGAATGCAAGGTTGGTTTAACATTCAAAACTGAAGTAACATAGTATGTCATATCAATGGAATAAAGGAGAAAAGCCATGGATCATCTCAATAGATGGGGGCGGGGGGGAGGACAGAGGAGTATTGACAAATCTAATACCCTTTCAAGATAATAATACACACTCAACAAATTAGGAATAGACAAGAGTTCCCTCAATCTAATAAAGGACATCTATGGAAACCCCACAGATAAGATCATATTTAATGGTCAAAGACCGCATTCTCCCTGAAGTCAGAAACAAGACATGTCTGGTTAACATTGTGCTGGAAGTTCTAACTAGGATCACTGAATAAGGAAAAGAAATAAAAGGCATCTAGATAAGAAAGGGAGAAATAAAGCTGTCTCTATTGAAAGTGACATGATTTTGAATGCAGAAAATCCTCTGTAGTCCACTAAAAAACTATTAGATTTTAAAAAACAAGTTCAGTAAGAATGAACAAGTTTATTCTAAAAAAAAAAGTTTGAGGATACAAGATTAATATCTAAGACTCAATTGTATTTCTGTACATTAGCAACAAGCAACCAGAATATAAAGTTAGGAAAACAATACAATTTATAATAGCCTCAAAAAGAATACAATATTTAGGAATAAATTTAACAAAGTAAATGTAAAAATGTGAAGGCTATAAAACATCATCAAAAGATATTTTAAAAGATCTAAAGAAATGGAAAGACTTCCATGTTCATGTGTTGGAGATTTTAATAGTGTGAAGATGAATAATATGCCCCAAATTTTTATATAAATTCAGTGCAATCTCAGTTAATATTCAGCTATCTGTGTTGCAGAAATTGACAAGCCGATCCTAAAATTTATATGGAAATGCAAGGGACCCAAAATAGACAAAACAGTCTTGAAAAAGAACAAAGTTAGAGAACTCACACTTGCCACTCTCAAAACTTAGTACAAAGCTACACTAATCAAGACAGCATGGTACTGGCATAAGGATAGACATATAAATAAATGGAACAAAAGGACGATTCCAAAAAAAATAAACCATTACATTTATGTTCAATTGACTTTTCACAAGGGTGCCCTGACAATTCAATAGGTAAAGAATAATCTTTTCAACAAATGGTACTGGACTAACTGGATATCCAAATGTAAAAGAATCAATTTGAACCCCTTCCTTACACTGTATACAAAAACTAACTCAAAATGGATCATAAACCTAAATGTGAGAGCTAAAACTATAAACTTTAGAAGAAAACATAAATAAATTTGCATAACCTTGGGTTAGGTAAAACCTTTTTATAAAGAATACCAAAAGCACAAATGACAAAAGAAAAAATAGATAAGTTGGATTTTATCAAAATTTAAAACTTTTGTGTATCAAAAGACACCATCAACAAAGTGAAACAACAACTTACAGAATGAGAGAAAATAGATGCAGATCATGTATCTGATAAGGGACTTAACCAGACTATATATTTTAAAACTCTTATAATTCAACAACAGAGACAACCTAATTAAAAAATGGGCAAAGGACTGAATAGCCATTTCTCCAAAGAAGATATACAAATGTCCAACAAGTACAGGAAAGAATGCTCATTGTCATTAGTCATCAGAGAAATGCAAATCAAAATTATAATGACATAAACTTCATGCCCAGTAGGATGGCTATAATCAATAAAATAGAAAATAACAAATGTTTATGAGAAAGTAGAGAAATTATACATTGGAACCCTTATGTATTGCTGGTAGAAATATAAATGTTACTTTGGAAACAGTTTGACAGTTCCTCAAAATATTAAACATTGATTACCATATGACCCAGCAATTTCATTCTAGGTATATGCCCAATGAGATGAAAACATACATCCATGCAAAAATTTGTACATGAATGTTCATCTTAGCATTATTCATAACAGCCTAAAAATAGAAACAATACAAATGTCTGTCAACTAAGTGGATTAAAAAAAGTGGTATATCCATTCAGTGGACTATTATTTGGCAAAAAAAGAAAAAAAAAAGGAATAAAGGACTGATACATGCTTCAATATGGATGAACCTTGAAAACATTATGCCAGGTGTAATAAGCCAGTCACAAAAGACCACATATTATACGATTACATTTATAAGAAATGTCCATGATACTCAGCTCCGTAGATACTGAAAGTAGATTAGTGGTAACCCAAAGCTAGGAGATTTGTGGGGGTGATGGATAAATTTATGAGAGTCTTTTTCTGGGATGATAAAAATGTTCTAAAACTGATTGTTGTGATGGTTGCACAAGTTTGTGACTGTACTAAAAACCATTGAATTGTGCTCTTTAAATGTGTGGATTATATGTTACATGAATTATATCTCAAGTTGTTTACAAAGATGCTAGTAGAAAAGTGGTCAAAGAATATGGACAAGGCAATCAGAAGAAGAAATACAAATGGCCAGTAAGTGTATGGAAGATGTTCATTGTTACTAACAATTAAAAAAACTATAAATTAAAAAATTTATTAACTTTTTGTTGCTTCTCAGATTGACAAAGAATAAAGATATTATATGTGGTTAAGTGTCTTATAGGAATCTTGTACCTTTTCCTAAGAATATAGCCCTAGAATTAGAATTATCCTACTGAAATGATCTCTAGAAATCCCTTAGTCTAATCCCTTTATTGACCCAGAAACAGAATAGAGAGCCCAGAAATAAATTCACGCCTACATGGTCATTTAATTCATTACAAAGGAGTCAAGAACAAGTAAGGGGTTCAAGTTCCAAGTTAATTAATGGCATAGGCGGGTCTATACTTCAGTGCTTTCTGACTTTTCTGCTAAATTGGGCACCGTTAAAAGCTGGGACTTCTAAGTGTCAGAACTCCAGGGGAGAATGATGAGGACACCTACGAACCTTCCCTGCTGTGGTAGTGCCAAACTAAGATTGTTTGGATGTTCATTCTGATTATTTGTTTTAGTTCTGATTATTTAATAGTCTACATTGGCTAGTCCCGTGTTTATAAAATTTTGTTGTCTTTTGGTTTCTTATTTTGGATGCTTTCCTATTCTGTTCCTATTCCCATATAGCCTGTAAATTGAGTCTGTCCTACACTATGCATCTTTAGAATATCATATCGTTGATCAAACAGACCTGCTGTCCTGTTCTTACCAATTTTCTCAATCATATTCTTTAGGTCTGAAGACCATGCTTTTTATACAGTCATCCTAGACCCGTTTTGAAATCTCTTATAGTTCAGTACTATTGGTTTTTAGTGTGTTTTCTCCATAAAGTACATTTGTTTACTACCTCAGTCTTTTTGTCTGTGTAGTGTACCTTAGTACACCATACTTCTTTGCTTATAGTATGACTCGTTACCTATGACCTGGTGAAATTTATATCTCTACATAACTATCTTTCCCACAAAATTGAGCTGTTTGGGCTAGGGACTATATTTTTGCATATCTTCATAAGCCTAGAGCTTAGTTGATGCTCAAATATTTATTAGATAAATAATATTTGAAATATTGAACTTTTTCGTTATCTGGATAACATTTTACTTTTTTTTCTTTCAGAATTTGGAGTTGTTTGCTTACTGTTTTCTGCAACTCTAGCTTATTTCCCACCTCGGCCTCCTCTTCCTCCCAGTGTTGCTGCAGCTAGCCAGCGGCTCAGTTATCGGCGGAGCTTTTGTAGATTATTAAGGTAAATATACTTAAAATCACTGGGTGGTTTTGACTAGCACCTTCAAAATAATTCCACATTTATTTAAGATAATTTCAGATAATAATTTTTCAGCAACCTGTTAATTAGGTTGCAAATAATTGACAAAATACTGATTAAATACTTTAAAGGGACTTCTTATCAGAAATCTATCTTAAAAAATCACCCAAAGCAAAATTGCCATAATTTTTGCCTCCTCTACATACCTCCTATACTATTAGTCACTTAATATTTTTAAAGTCAAATCTTTTATTTAAATAATTTTCTTTTATAAGGAAATGTATCACATAATAGTATCTGTGAATTCATGGGTTATGTGTGTTTATTATATTTTTCCTAATATGTAAATTATTTTTATTCATATTGTATTTCTTAGATACACATTAAAATAAACAAGTGCTAGTCAATACAAAGTAAATATAATAATGTTTATATACCTCCAGCGAGATCATACTTTGAGAAACTTAATATTTTGTTTTCTTTTATTGGTATAACTTAAACATAATTAGATTAAATTCTGCCCTTTAAGGCTCAAATTCAATTCTTTGGATATGTAGAGCATCTCTGATGATGATTATTGGCAGTTGGGCCACTAGAACTTATCTTTCGAATTTTTCCTCCAGTTAGTTGTGATGAGTTTTTAGTGATTCATTAGTAACTCTCTCTAGTTGGTTTTCTTTTCTAGTCTACCTCTCCCACCAGATGGTAAGTTCCTCATGGTCAAGAGCTATGTCTTTGTGTCCTCTATAGTAATGTTGTCTAACAGGAATATAATATGAGCCACATAATAGGTAATTTTTAATTTTCTAGTAGCTTCATTAAAAAAAGAAACATAAAATTAATTTTAATTGCATGTTTTCTTTAACCTAGTATATCTAAAATATTTTTTAACATATTCAAAATTATTGAGATATTTTATATTCTTTTATTCATTCAGAATCTTTTAAATCCAGTGTATATTTTAAACTTACAGTATATTTCAATTCAGGTGCTAAATTTTCATTAGAAATACTTGGTCTGCATTTAAATTACATCAGATTAACAATTGAGCAGTGTCTTCCATATTGCACTATTTATCTCAAGTTAAAAATAAGTACCTGCAAATCTTCAAATTTTGCATCAACACATCTCTGAAATTATTCAAAAGGTCTTATACTCTAGAGACAATTGTTTGGACCTTAATTGAAGATCTTACACTTCACTTCTGTAGAATACATGTTTTATTTTGTTCTTCCTAATGTTTTAAAAAATTTTCCGTAGCTGAGAGAATTTCTTTTACCAAGTATCCATCCGAAAATGGTTTTCTCTTTGTTCAGGAATCCAAACTGTTTTATATCTAGCCGAAGTTATAAGCTCAGATCTGTTAAAAAATGCTTAAAAATGTTTGTTGGACATTTCATCCTGATTTGGGGCAACTAATTTTTTTTAATTCTTTTTTACTGTTGAGAAGAAACTTCTTATAAAATTCACTGTGTATTTATTGAACATGTCTCTTAATATTATCCTCTTAATTATCTTAATTTTCTTTTTTACACAACAGACATCATTTTGCTCTGCTGCAGCAAATCGCAATTGCCATTCATTGTGAAATCTGTAACATATTTTCTTCCAGTCTCTTATTTTTTTCTCTTTAAAATATTCAGATAAGCAAATTACAATGTTATATCATTGTGTGAAAAAAATATTTATAACTGAGTTAGTTCACTGATACCAAGAAGATCAGTGACAGTTTCTAAAACTAGAAACAACACATGCTACAACGTGCACACTATAATAATATCTTACCCAGTGCAGCAGTTACAGTGAACTGCATTTCCACCAAAAAAATAAAATTGTGTTTAACAGAAAGTACTTTTCGCTGCTTCTGTTTTTAAATTTGGATTTAAATTAATTAAAATGAAATTTGTGTCACTTGTAGTAATGATACATCTCTTTCGTGAGACTTTTCTTTCAGTCTATATGTACATATATCAGTAGGTCACAAAGTAAAAATATATTTCTTACTCTGCAGTACAGTAAAAAGTTTTTGTACATTGCCTTCCACATAATAGGCAAAGAGAAAATATTAATTAAATTGAATTATTATCAGTGGCACACATTTGTAAGATGACTATTAAAATGATAGTTTTTTAAATGCTATTTAACTAAGTTTTTTTGTGTGTTTTTTTATGCCAAGCCAGAGACTAGATAGCAAAAGATAAGACTAGAGAGGTTGGTTAGGGTCATATTATGCCATACTAATAATTTTGGACTATTCTGTGGGAAATGGGGGATCGTTGGAGGATTGATTTTAAGGTAAGGAGTTATATTGTTCTTACAAGGAAACACAAAATTATCACTCTGACCACAATAAACCCTGTGTTTGTTTCTAAATTCCCTAAAGTCAAGATCTTTATTCTCTATCTAAATCATAAAGTATAAAATCTTTCTATAAAAAAACCCTTTTCACTGATGGCCTACTTCTCTCTGTCTCTTCCAATATTTGTCTATTTACTCTTCAGGTTCTACCTTTGGGCTCTAAGGGGGGTGGTTCCTTGGGCCTGCCATGCTCCATTCCCTTAGCCTACCAATATAATTTCCTCTGAGCCTTCAAAGAACCCCTAAAATCATTAATTCCTAGATTAATTGGAATAACTGCTTTTCTAGATTCTAGTGGCATTATCTGGGGTGGGAATGGTTAAAGTTTCTACCACGATTATAATAAATAGTATTAATAAATTAGTATATATTATGTTATACTAATTAACAAATTACTATTAAAAAATAATACTATTTATATGATTCCCATCTCTTAATATTCCTTTACCTTGTATAACCTAATGTAAACATTTCTCTCTCTTTCTATATTAGTTTAATGTTTGATGATAGTGGTTGCTGATTTGCCTTTTAAACTTCAAGAGTAGAAAGTTGAGTTGAACATGTTCCTCATTTCAGGACACATGAACACATTTATTCATTTATTTATCATTCATTCTTTTTTTATATTTCCCACTCCCATGCCCCTTCCCTTCCCCTACTCACACCACCTCTTAAATGCATTTAATGTGTATCTGTCTGGGTGCTTTTGCAATATGTATATTGTTTTGCATGCATCTATGTTTAACTTATCTAAATGATGGCACATTACATATCTCACTGTTTGACTTTTTAACTAAACATTATGTGGTTGTTTTATAACTTTTTATTTTGAAAATTTATAGAAGAATAGTATAACCTCTATATCCCATAACCCAATATCAACAATTGCCTATTTATAGCTATTTTTGTTTCATCTTTACTTTACCTACTCCCCACCTTCCTGTATCATGAAGCAAATCCCAGATGACAAATCACTTCATTCATAAATATTTCAACATGTGTAATATATGTTTAAAAGATAATGACTCTTTTTAATATAAATATAGTACTATTATTGCACCTGAAAACTTTTCAACAATAGTTTGCTGTTATCAAATCAATATTTAATTTTCGATTGTCTCATGATTTTTTTTTAACAGTTTAAATCAAGATCAGATTAAGTCCATGCATTGCAATTAGCTCAAATCCATCATAATCTGTAGGTTTCCTTCCCATCTCTCTCTTTTCCCTTGTAATTTATTTGTTAAAGGAGCCATCTTTTTTGTCCCCACGGTCTCGATTTTGTTGATTGACTCCATATGGTGTAGTTTGTCATGTTTCTCTGTACTTTATATGTCCTATAAATTGATAGCCAGAGCTGTGTTCCGATTCAGATTTTTGTTTTTGCTTTGGTTTTGATTTTAACAAGACTACTTCATAAGCGATGGCTTTCTTCCATCAGGAGGCATATGGTATCTGGGTAACTCTCATTTTGTGATATTATCACCAGGTTTTCAAGATGCTCCTATAACTAATTCTTTGTACTCCATCACATTTTATACGCCCACTCCCACTGTGTACCCAAATAGCCTCTAATTCATTGTCACCACAAACACTACTTCAGTGACATCCTCATATATATCATAGGAGACCTGAAAACTTCTTTTGAAAATAGATCCCACAACAGGATTGCTGGGTCATAAGGTATGTTAAGCTTAATTTGCCCAGAATCGCCAGATTGCTCTCAAAAGTGCCTGCATTTATCTCTATTTCCATAGCAGTGCCCATTTCTCTATATGCCCATCAACCTTGGTATTATCCATCTTTCTAATTTTTACTAGCCTAATAGGTGTAAACTAATATATCTTTTAATTTGCATTTCCTGGATATTAATAAGTTTGAGATTCGTTATGTGATTGTTTGCCTTTTAGGTTTCATCTACTATAAATTCCTCTTCATAGTTTCTGCCCATTTCTTAATGGTGATTGCTATCATTTTCTTAATGATTTACATATTATAGGTATACATTCTTTTGTTGACTTAAAATTTTAAAAATTCAAATATATATTTCCATTCCGCCCACTAATTTTGTCCATTAATTTCTTAATTATCAACTTTCTGGTTTTATCTTTCTCATTTAGATTTTTAACCCATCTAGAGTTCACCTTAGTCTGTGGTGTTAAGTAGTCATGCAGGGTTTTGTTTTTCTCTCCGTAAAATGAGCTAGCACCATTTGCTAAACAATCCTTAGCCCTTTCATTCATAGTGGCACCTTTATTGGATACTGAGTTTCTGTGTCTTAGCTCTGTTTTCCTCCATTGTTCTCTTTGTTCTTGACCCATCACATACAATTTTATTGCTTTGGCCATGCAGTTTGTCTTAATATCTGATAGGACAAAGGCCTCTGTTTTCATATTGTTTTAAGGATGAGTTTGCTTTTCAAGGACTTATTCTTCCATATAAATTATAGAGCATAGTTTTTGAGTTTCTAAAAAATTCAACTGGAATTTTAATTGTAATTGCATTGAATTTATAGATTAATTTGGGACGTCTCTCCATCTATTTAGATCATCTTCTGTTCTCTTAATTAGATTAAGAGATTGCTTCTTCTGCTCCCCCCGTCCCCCACCACCACCCCTACACCTCCCATAGAGGTCTTGGACCTTCCTGGTTTATTGCTAGGTACTTTATCATTTAAAATTTTTAATAGCTATTGTGAATGGTATCTACTTTTAATTAAATTTTTAAAATTAAACTTGTTATTGTGAGATAATTTTAGATTCACATGCAGGTGTAAGAAATAATAGAGCGATAACATGGACTTTGATGTTATCACTATGTTTTTAGCCATTTTGATAGGTATGTAGAGGTACAATTTCTGTAGAAGGCAATTGGCATTGGGTATTAAAGTTACAAATACACATACTCTATGACATGACAGTTGCACTTCTAGAAATCGATTCCCCAAGTGTACTAATGCTCATGTGAAATGACTAAGAACAAAGAAATAAAATTCTATACTATATATTGTATAAAATATATAAAATTATATATTTATATCTTTTGTAAGGGGGCTGATTAAATAAATAATGGCATGCCGACATAATGTAATACAATGCAGCTGTAAGAAAGAATGAAGAAGCTCTATATGTATTGTCTATGGAAGAGCTTTAAGACCTAAGTTAAAAAAGAAAAGTTCAGCAAAAGGTGTAGTGTGCTACCATTTATATAAAAAGATTGGTGAAAGAATATATGTGTGTGTGTGTATGTGTATATTTGTATTCACTTGTATATTTTGGGATATTTCTGGGAAGCTACTCAAGAAAGTGATAACATTGGTACTTGTGGGAAGAGGGAAATAGGGGTAAAAAGGGGACGTTTCCCCCGTATTTTTATACTTGTTTGGTTTTGAGCCATTTAAATTATATTGGCTATTAATAATAATAAAACAAATAATAATAATAAAACAAATGATAATTAAAACTACTCTCTGAAAATGATAAAACCAGCAAAATATATATTTTTAATCTTTGTTTTTTCTCTCTACCTTGTTCATAATAAGAAACAGTAATATTTTTTAACATTTGAATTTTTTATTTTTTAATTATAGTTGAAATCCAATATTATGTTAGTTTCAGGTATACAACATAGTGATTAGACATTTATATAACTTACAAAGTGATCACCTCAATAAGTCTAGTATCCACCTAAGAAACAGAAATTTATCTTTTCAAATAAGAACTTTTTTTTAAACTAAAGCTACCTACTCAATTTATGAAATAATGTTGGTAATTCGTTTATATAATAAACATTGACAACTTTTAAATAATATGACAAAGATATTCTTATAAAAATAAAAAATGTAAAGAACTTTGAATTTATTAACAAACTGACAGATATTTTTTATTTCAGATTCCCATAGTCCAATTTCCGAATGACTCCTTTCATGAGTAAGAATTTAAATTCTAGATTTTGAATCAATAATAATATTTTCTTGTACTTCTTTTTTACAGCAATTTGAGATTTTTGATGATTGCGTTAGCATATGCCATACCACTTGGTGTATTTGCTGGCTGGTCTGGAGTTCTGGACTTAATTTTAACACCAGTGCATGTCAGCCAAGTAAGCATTTTATTTCTTTATATATTGTAGGTATTTTTAGTTCACTTAAACTATAAATATTGTCTACATGTTCCTTGATTTTAGCTTCAAGTCCTGGGTAGAACATTATTTCATATCATTATTGCAAAAGCAAAGTCCTTATGAAATAGTTATAAACAATATTGATTTCCTGGATTTTGTTAACAGTCATAAATTTCACATTTATTTAGAGTTTATTAATGTTGCTAATAAACAGAAAAATAAGGACAATCTTAGTTTTGTTGACTCCATTCTTTATCCTTAATTTATACTTTATAAAGAAGATTAAAATCCCATCATCAAATATATGGCTATTTCTACATCTAATTTCTCACTTTCTCTCCAGTCTCAGAATAAGGGTATCTCATTTCTTTAAAAATAACCATTTCACTGATATGCTTGATGCCATCCATTCTCCTTGCTTCCAGATAGCATGATAAAAAGGGGTAAAGAGAGATTTGAGGAGCAAATGGAAGAAATCCAGCATATGATATTCCACTGTATGAATTAACAATTGTTCCATTCTTCTTTTGATGAACATTTGGATTGTTTACAGTTTTTGACTGTCACAAACAGTGTTATATGAATGTTCTCATAAGTTTCTCGCTGTACCTCTATACACATTTATCTTGGATATATAGCCAGGAATGGAATTGCTGGTTAGGGTGTATGCCTGGTTTGATAGATGATGCCAAACTTCCCCAGAGTTGTATCACTTTACAGGCCCACCACCAGTACATGAAATTTCTCATTGTTCCACATCATTACCAGCACTTGGCAATATTAGTCTTTTTAAATTTAGACTTGCTGATGGCTATGCAGTTGTATGCAATTATAGTGATATCTTTTTAATTATTAGTTGAATATTTGAATATCCTTTTTTGTGATGTGCCTATTCAAGTCTCTTGCCCACTTTAGGGCTGCCTTTTTCTTACTGGTTTGTAAAGAGGAGCTGTGCAGAAGACGGCTCCCCAGAAGACTATGTGGAGTCCTCAACAACTCTTGGCTGAGAAATAGACTACACATGTAAAAGACAAAGCTGCTAGAGTCTTCACAGAGAGACTGCCCTGGGTTCGAAAGCAGAACAAATATAGAAGAGGGCAAGCAGTGCAGGACTGTTGGAATTCTGGCCCAGCCAGAGTGAAAGACCTCATTAAAACCTTGGGCTTCTGCCGAGACACCAGAAAGGCCAAACTAGAGAATGAAGGACCATGCCTAGATAGAGTAAGGCCAATTCTACTTAGGCTCACCATAAACAAAGCCTAAAACCAAGCCCTGACAGAAATCTGCAGAGAGCAGTTTGGAGATTGAGTCCTACCAAGCAAGAGGGGCCTGAGAAACATCTTGGTTTCTACTTCTCTGCCATAATAAGCACAAAATCAAGCCTATACAAGTTCAGGGTGATCAGTTAGTAAATGAACTGCCTATAATGTAAAAATCAACTATTTTAAAGAAATACGAAAGAATCCAGAATCTTTATATTGTATTGTCCACAACATAACCTATACAATTTTTTTTTTTAATTCGAAGACATTAGACATACAAAGAGACAGGAAAATATTTAAAAAAAAAAACAAAAAACAAAAACAGAACCAATAGAAACCAACTCAGAGATTGTAGATGTTGGATTTAGCAGACAGAGACATAATGCAAAAGAGAGAAAGAAATCTTTGCTTGCTCCAAATTTATAAATATATTCCCCTATATTATCTTGTAGAACTGCATTGTCCACTACAGTAGCCACTAGCAACTGTGGCTATTTAATTTGAAAATTAAATTAGTTGAAATGAAATGAAAATTTAAAATTCACTTCTTCAATGGCATCAGCCGCTTTCAAGTACTCAGTAGCCACTTGCGATTTGTATTGGACCATACAGATAGATAGATTTCCATCATCACAGAATACTCTGTTGGATAGTGCTATTCTAGAAAGTTTATGGGTATTCCTGCCACATTTAAGCCTAAAATTGAATTTTGTGCTTGTTATAAGGTAAGGGTTAAGTTTTTTTCCCCCAACATAGGTATCTATTAACCTAGGATCGATTTTTGAAAAGATCGTGCTTTTCCAATTGCTTTCTACTGTCATCTTTGTTATACTGAAGTGCTCTTATATGCATGGATGTGTTTCTAAACTATTTTTTTCCTCTGTTTGTCTATCTTCGTACCAACACCAAATTGTAATAAGTATTCTAGTAGTGTTATAAGTTTTGATATCTAGTAGAATAATACTCCTTTTTACTAGGATTTTGATGAGAATTTTTTGAATCTATAGATTGGTTTGAGAATTAACTTCTTTATAATGCTGAGTCTTCCAAATCATGATCATTATATTTCTCTTCATTTACTTAGGCACTAATGTCTCTGAATGATGCTTTATAATTTTCTGCAAGGACTCTTCTATATATTTGTTAGATCTATTCCCAGGTATTTGATACTTTTTGAAACTATTGTAATTGGTAATTCTAAAATTTGTATTTTCTGTTGGCTGGCATATAGAAATATAGTTGATTTTTACAAGGAATTGCAATGCAGCTGATCTTGTATCCAGCAACCATGTTAAACTCACTTATTTAATATATTAATTTGTCCATAGATATTTTGGCCTCTCTACATATATACTCATATCAATTATGACTAAGGACAAATAGATTGAAAAAACTACATTTAGTACAATTCAACATTGAGATAATCATATGATCTTTCTCTTAAACTACTAATATGACAAATTACACCTATTAATTATTAAATTTTAAACCACTTGTACTAAATCCCATTTGTCAGTGATTTGTTACACTTTTATATATCAGTGGATTCTGTTTGCTCATGTTTTGTTTAGGAATTTTTGCAGATTTTTTTTTCAGATTAAGATAGGAGTATAACTTTCCTTTCTTGTTCTATCCTTTCAATTTTAGTATCAAGGTGTTGCTAGTCTCAAAAAAACAGCCTAGGAAGTGTTTCCTCTTTTTCTTTTATCAGAAGATTTTGTGTAAGTTTCATGGTTTGGGGGTTTTATTTTTTCCTAATAATTTAGTAGAATTCACTGATGAAACCATTCAGTTTTCTTTGTGAAAAGATTTTTAATATGGAGTCAATTTATCTAACAGTTATAAAAGTATTCAGATTTTCTATTTATTCTTATGTCAGTTTTGATAAATTGTACCTTTCTAGAATTTTTCCATTTTATTTCAGTTTTCAAATTTATTGGTAAGAAGTTCTTTATAGTATCATTTCATGATTTTATTGTGTCTTCAGTATAAGTCATTCCAGATATTAATTATCTATATCTTCTCTATATTTTTCCCTGAGTAATCTTACCAATGGCTTTTTAATAAATGCTTATTTTCTATTTTACTGATTTCTGGTTTTATCCTTATATTTTTTTATAGTTTTTTGCAGGAAGTTACTTTGTTTTCCCTTTTTTAAGTTTTTGATATGACTCTTTAGATCCTCGACTTTTAGCTTTTCTTTTCTAATATATACATTTTATGGTTATATATTTCCTTTTAAACACAGCTTTAGCTGCATTCCATGTTTTGCTAAGCAAGATTTTCATTATTCATTTAAAAAATATTTTCTAGTTTTTGTAGTGATTTCTTCTTTGAACCATGGGTTATGTAGAATGACATTTCTTAATCTACAAACTGCTAAAGAGTCTCTAGTTTGGGGTTTTGTTTTTTTTTCCCCCTTAATTTCTAACTAAATTACATAAATGTGGTCTTACGGTATCCTCTATGATTTCAGTATTTTCAAATCTGGTGACCCAACATGTGATCAACTATGTTTTATAATTCTTGGGTATTGTGTTTTATTTATTTTATTTTATGTTTTTAACAAGAGAAGATAACCAAATTTAATACATACGTATGTATGGGAACCCTGCATAATGAGACAGTCAGACGCCCCACATGCAGGAGAGGTTCAGAGATAGAAAGGGAGCATGGATATATAGGACATTATGTGCAAGGGATGAGTTAAGGTGCTTTGGGAGCTTCAAAGGGTCATTGCAGAATTATAAAAGTAGATGTTTAGTAAACAGAAGTTTGCCCTCTCATCCAGGTGGGTCAAAAAGAGATTCTGTCTGATAATCTCCCATTATGGGCAAGGCCCCTAATTCAGGTTCTTCCAGGTCATTAAGGAGGGGCAGAAGTTTCTCTTGAGCCTAAAGCTAAAATTGCCCTTAGCTCAAAATAATCTTTATACCACTGAGGTACTGTGTTTTATTTGTGTCAGTTAGATCAATTATGTTAATTGTGTGTGTTCACATCTGTATCTTTATTCATTTTCGTTTCCTTGTTTTATTAGTTACTGGGGAAGGTGTGTTAAAATTCTGCACAATTATATAATTGTCTATTTCTTTCTTTTCCTTCTGTCAATATTTGCTTTATATATTTTAAGACTAGGTAAGTGATACACATAAATCTAGAATTGTAGTGTCTGACCAATGTATTAAACCTTACATCCATATGAAGTATTATTTATTTCTGGTGATGCTTTTTACCTTAAAGAATATTAGTTACACCAGCTTTCTCTTGGTTAGTGTGTGCATGGTATATCTTTTCATATTTTTTTGACTTTCACACTTTCTTTAGCTATACCTCTTATAAGCAGTATACCGTTTTTTTCTTTAATTCTGTCTGATAATCTTTTTGTTTTAATTGGAGTATTTAGTCCATTTACATTTAATGTAATTTTTGATAAATTTGGATCTAGATCTACTATCTTTCTATTGGTTTTTATTTTGTTCACTCTAATCTATCCTGTTTTTCTTTTCTTACCTTCTTGTGAATTAAATATTCTATTTTTCTGGCTTTACTCTCTATTAACTTGGTATAGTCTCTTTTACTACTTGGTGGTTACCCTAGAAAGTATAGAATGCACTCCTGACTTATCAATATTTGTTATAACTTAGAACTATCACCTCTTCCAGGACACCCCAGAGTCTTTAGAACCCTTTAACTCCATTTCATCCTCTAGCATTTCTTGTGCTATTATTGTTATATATTTTCCACTGTACAAGGCATCATTATTATTTCACCTTTATTTTTGAAGATTATTTTTGTCGGACATAAAATCTATGATATAACTAGGTGGCGATTTTTTAAAAATTTATTCTTGATGTCTATAGGACTTCTTGAATATATGGCTGGATTTCTCTATCAGTTTCTGAAAATGTTTAGCCAATATCTCTTTGAAGCTTATGCTCTGTTTTCTCTAATTTCACCTTTAGGGACTCTGTGCTTGTGTGTGTGTGTGTGTGTGTGTGTGTATGATCAATCGATAGATAGATAGATATAATTATACCTTCATGTTGTATTCCCTATGTCTCTTACCCTTTCTTCTGAATTTTTCATCTTTTGCCTTTCTCCACTTCAGATTAGGTATTTTATCAAGCCTCTCTTCCAACTCATTATTTGAGTTTTCAGCTTTGTCTAATATGCTATTAAACTCATCTGTGAGTTACTAACTTAAATTGTGTTTTTAAGTTATAAAATTTTTGTTTGATACTTTTCATAGTTTCCAAATTTCTGTAGAAATCCTTGAGCTTGTCTTTTTTTTTATATATTTTTTTAAAAGTTATTTAAAGTCTATATCTCATAATTTCTTTTACTGGATCCCCTGTTGGTCTTTTTATATTTGTGGTATTCACTGATGTTTTCTTATCTCCTTTTTTTTACCGAGTGCTAGACATAGTTGTAGCACTCAGTGAAAAAGACAAGTTGTAGAGATAATTTAAGCTTCAAGATAATTTAAGCTTCAAGATAGTTTAAGCTGCAAGAGGATGTTATTTTCCTCCAGAAATAACATGTTTTTTCTTGAAGGAGTCTATGGATTACTTAATCTAGTATTAGGAATTGAGATCATTTAAAGCTGGACTTCAGTCCCTCATACTACTGTTCTATTTCCAGTACTCTTAGATTAAAGCCCTTCAGAGTCCCCAGCTAAAGGCTGGGTTTTTTTTGTTTGTTTGTTTGTTTGTTTGTTTTAAGGCCACCTACCTCCCAGTAGGCCCCAAACTTATATTTTTTTTCTTTCCTAGGTTAATGAAGATGTTGATAACTACTCAGTTAGACACCTTTTTTAAAAATCATCAGACACCCACCTCTAAGAGAAAAGTGTCCTCAAACACTAGGTTTATCTTCCTGGGTTTCCTTCCCATTTTACAACATAGTTCCATAATTCTGGATTTTCTTCTTGGCTCTTTGATGCCATCAGATTTCCCCCCAGATTTTCTAGTTCTCAATCAGACTATTAATCCAAATCACCTAGTATACCTTCACCATAAGAAGTAAGTCTTCATTTAGTTTCCTAACCTATTTTTCTGGATGGTTGGTATTCAAGAAGGAAAAATGCAGCACCTATTTAAATGATTCTTATTTTGCAGATCTTACGCTTCATCTTACAGACCCTGAGACATTCTTCCAAGTATCTCTCTCTGTACAGACTCTGAGAGATATAGACACCATGAATCACACCAGGGATTAAATAAAGAGAAATTTAAAATTATTTGAAAGCAAAAACATTAAAACAAAGAAAAAATTTTAATATCGAGTAGAATGTTATTAACTGAAGTAAATGTCATGAACGGAGGGAGCAGAAAAGCACAAAATGGCCAGAAAAAGACCAGGATCAGTAAAATCAGAGGCACAGTGGTCCCTAGCCTGACACAGGAGGACCCCACTCACCTAGAGTGTAGACAGAAATGTTTGTGAGCACCTAATAGTGTTAAGTAGGCCTAAGACAATGGGTGCTAAATGCTCTGCAATGAGAACGGCAGCTCTGCACAACAGAGGATTCTCTTGCCCCAAATGCCAATGGTGCATAAAACAAAATGTAGAGATAATTTAAGCTTCAAGGTGTTCTCTTTCTCCAGAGAGCATTTATCTTTGCTTCTGGCACCAAACACTAGTAGAACAAAGGACTTGTACAAAGTATTACTTAGAGTAGGCTAAGCTGCTGTAAGAAATAGAACCCCCAAATTCTGAGACTTATGAAGAAATCTATTTCTCATTCACATAGCAATCTAAGACAGTTTGCATAATAATTTAGGACAGTCATTCATAGTTTGGAAAGTTCTTTTTTTTATACTGATTTAGAGACCTAGGCTGCTTCCACTCTGCAGATCTTCTGTCGCCTAGCACCTTGTCCTTAAATGAGTGAAGCTGGGTGACCACAAAAACCTGCTGGCAAAGGGAAAGAAAGCATGGAGGAAGGCATACAACTGTGTTCCAGGTTCTATTCTAGGGGTAGCAAACCTCACTTCTACTCACTTCCTTCCACTAATGAGAGCTTAGTATGACTAGGAAAATAATAAAAGGCAGAAGTTAGTTTGGGGAGCTGTCAAATGCCAGGTCAAGTTTGGACTTTACCCTTTAACCACAAGGAAAGCCAGTAACTATTTCTGAGCCGAGAAGTGGAATGATTGGGATAATTATTCTTGCAATAGCAGGAAGAATAGATTGTGGAGACCATTCACAATGCTATTACAGGAATCCAGAGTAAGAAATAAGGTAATAAGCAAGTGTGGTGGATGTGAGAAGAGAAAAGAGGAGACAGATGGCACCAGTATTGTTAGGGACACATAGAATTTCAGTGGTAACAACTAACGTGTATTGAGCACTTTACATTTATTAACTTAATTTCAAAAAGATCTTTATTATCCCCATTCTTCTAATGAGAAAACTGAAGCTTAGACTGTGAGTTGAGACAGAAACCAAGTCATAATAAGTTAAAGATATACGTGTGATGAGGAAATAAAGGTAGCATTTGTAGATAGCTTTGAGTAAGTTTGGTAGGAAACTTAATTGTAGGAAAGAGGTATGACATCAGATAGATGGAGAAGCATCATCAGATAATGACAGCTCTGGCCTTTATTGAACACATCCTGTATGCCAACCAGTGATCTAAGATCTGTACACAAATTATCTCATTTAGTCTATTTTATACATAAGAAGACATAATTTGCCCAGGGTCACAAAGCTAGCACATGGCAGGTCTGGAAATGTTTGCTCAAGAGCAGAGTGAGTTATCCATTTGAAACCAGTTCAAATTCTCTTTATCCAGTCTCCCCAGGTGCTCAGCCCTCAACCCCACATTGTTCTTCCCCCATTTGTGTTCTGGTAATCCATTTTTAGTTGTCACCAGACATTTTGGTGTATTTGTTTCTTAAAAATTATTGAGGTGACATTCATAAAATCAAAAAGTTTCAAGTATACAATTCAACAGTATGTCATACATATTTTGCATTGTGTGTTCACCACCCAAAGTTAGATTTCCTTCTGTCACCAAATGTTTGATCTCTTTTACCCTTATGTACTTCTCCCCTCCCTGCTTCCCTCTGGTAACCACTAACCCACTATCTGCGTCTATGAGTACTGTTTGTCATGTTTGTCATGTTTGTCTTTTGCTTTCAGTATTATATCCCACATATGAGTAAAATCATATAGTTTTCAACTTTTTCTGTCTGACTTATTTTGTTTATTATGATTATCTCAAGATCCATCCATGTTGTCACAAATGACAATATTTCATCATTTTTATGGCTGAGTAATATTCCGTTTTGTACATATACCACATCTTCTTTATCCAATCATCTATCGTAGGACACTTCAGTTGTTGCCAGAAATTTTAACGCTTAATTATTTTCTAGTAGTTTTCTCTATGTTGGCTATGTTTAAACTTTTTGAGGTCAGTGACCATCATTTGTCCTTTTCCTGTTTTCTTATGAGTTCCTAGTACAATGCTAGGCATATAAAACATATTTGAAAATTATTTGTTGTGACATTGATTATTTTGTTGATTTAAATATTTCAATAAATTAAGGATATATTTACTTAGATAAGTTCATTTTACTTAGTCACAGATGAATCTTTTTGTTAGATTCATTTTCTTAAATAATATTTCCTAAATTTGTTGCCATTTACTTACTAACATATTGATTAGAGAAGATTTTTTTCTTCATGCTTTCTAAATTGCAATATGATAGTCTTATATTAAATGTGTCTGCCACTTTCTTAACAGGTAGATGCTGGCTGGATTGGATTTTGGTCCATAGTTGGAGGCTGTGTTGTTGGAATAGCTATGGCAAGGTAAGAATATTTTATGTTAAATGTGTGAGTGGCCAGAAACAAGGGGAAAGCTCAAAGGGACAATTAGGTCCCCTAAATAAATGTTAAAATTCAAGGAAAAGTAAAATAGGCAAAGGTCAGAGAAGAGCACTTGTTCAGTTATAAGAAAATTGACATGCAGTGGGTAGAATTTGCTGCTACAAGAAATGTTCTCAAGAGTGGTCTGTCCTGAAATGTTTTTGGAGACTGGAGATGTATTTTTAGTGTAATTAAGCTGACTCTCTCCATATTATTAGAGAACAACATCTATAAATGGAACCCAAAGAAAGGTGATACAGTAATAAAGGCAAATTGATAGTTATCAAGAATAGAAAAGAATTGAAAAGAACAATTTGTAAGAGCATGTTTAGGATTTTCTGTGAAAAGACAGCATACTGATTAGCAGATAAATTTATTTCTAGACTTTTTTTGACAGAGATGTCCCTCTGGTTATTCCATTTTGATGAAAAACGTCCATAAAGACTTCCAATTTCATCAGACTGCCTATGATCTTAACATATTATGACAACACGTTTTTAGAATGAGTCGATAGAAGGAAAAAGTGTCATTATTCTAAAAAAAGAAAAGAATGAAAATGTCACTCATGTAGGTGACTGTCTGTAAAACTACTCTTGATGTTTTCAAAGAGATAGTACTCATTCATTTCCAAAGTCATTTTACCCAGTTTAATCAAAAACAACATTAGGTAGTCAACTTTACCAAGAGGAAGAATCTAATTACATATTTGGGGAGGTCAAATAAGATAGATAAATCACCTCAATATCTAAATACTTAAGCATGATTGACACAGGATAATATTATATCTAGACCTTAAAGTTTACGTAGTGTTTCTGGGATAATGAAAGAATAAATTGACACTGTAATTTCTAAATCACTATCTGAGGTTTTTATAAGTTAGGAAAATATAAGAGTAAAATCTAAAAGCTAAAGGAGAGGAATAGGAAGATAGCTATATGTAGCAAATAACTGTACTGATACTGAAATACAATGACGTCACATTTGTTAAGAATCATATCTAATTTTTCTAATTAAATCTCCAAGCCAATTAGAGTGAGTCATCATTTACCAAATTCTATTCTGAGCACCAAATAGGTCAGAGGGAACCATTGTATATCATAAATGACATCTCACATTCTCCTTTCTCTCTTTTTTTTTTTCTATAAACCCTTAATTTTAACCACATAGAAATAGAACTAGAGGGAGAAATTAGAATGAGGACATTTGTGTTTTTAATTTGTTGAAATGTACTGCCCTTACTCTGAGATCTGCAATCAATTGCAAGTATCTCCTAGGCCTAAAATAAAATTTTAAATTATATTAATAATTCCATTTTTGGGATCCTTAGAACAGAACCTTCTTATAAACAAATGCTTTGGGTAATTTTTTTTTTTTTGTAGTTATGCTGCTAAAGGTCGCTACTAAATGTACCACTTTTGTCCTAACAGTATACTTTGATGGTACTAGCCCATTTGAGAGGGTTAGGTCTCCAAAAATAGCAGACCACAGTGGTCAGTTTATTCTTTGATGATCTAGCCCTGTGAAACTTTCTCGCTATTCGACCTCATTCAACTCTGATTGCACCAGAAAACTGTTTTATTCTCTCATACCTGGTCATCGGCGTATCTGACACATAAGTTCAGGCAGCCTACCAAAATATAAATCAGAAAAGTGATTGATGACCATGGAATTAAAACAAAGTATTTAGATTTTCTTGAGGAATGTTTCTATCAAGCCATGGAACCTTTTTTAGAATTTTCAAAATAAGAATTTTCTGACAATGAACTAACTTTCGTAGTTGAGAACAGACCTGTCACTGGGCAAAGGTGCATTCATTTTTCTCACCAAAAGATGGCATCAGCTCTCACAGAAAAGTCATTTTAGTCTAGGTAACCCTTACAAACATGATTAATCATATCACATCAAATAAGTACAAAACCAAAGATAGTATTGAAAGTGTTAAGAAGAATAGTCACATAATTAAAATCAATTTTGAAAAACTTCAGAGAGAAAACATGGTAAATGTCATATGGGATCTGTTTTTTATAATAGGAGCAATTCCGAAGGACAGAATAAGTTGTGTGTAGAGGATTGTGCCTATATAATCAACCATTAATCAGCAAATGAGGAATAGCAATTGGCAAATGGAAGTTTTTGGTTGTAACTAAATGATAAGTATCTCTACCATATTACTTTTAGATTCGTGTTAATTCAGGAAAAAAACAGGGATTTTAAGAATTTAAAATGCGCTGAAACAGTAGTCACAGCTTCGAGGAATAGTATCCACTCTTCCAGAGCTATATTCTTGCTTTTATAAAGCTTACAATCTGATAAGGAAGACAAAAAATAAACAAATGCAAAAACAGGAGAAATTCCAATAGAGGTAAGTGCTATGAAGAAAATAAGAGTGTGGAGGTGGAACGGGGAGGCTTTCTTCAGTGAGCATGGAGAGCCTTGTTGAAGTGAGACCTGAGTGACCTGAGGAATAAGCAGGAGTTAGTCATGTGAAGAATGGGTGTACCAGCATTCTAGGCCGAGAGTACAAGTACATTGCTGTTTGAAACAACCTTAGCATGTATGAGAAACAAAAACAGTGCTGTTCAATTGGAGCATAGTAAGGCAAAGGGAGAGTGGAGGCAGATTCCATAGGACCCCAAAAACTCTAGTGTACGCATTTGCATTTGTTCTTTGAGTGTGAATCTTGGGAGCGCCATCTTTGCAGGTTTATGTCAACAAGTTAATAACCTGTTTTCTAAAACTAGAACAATATGTACTCATTATAGAATGTTTGGAAATTATAGAAAAACATAAACTAAAAGTGGCATTTAAAAACTTAGAATCCATCCTGGAAGTTATAGATCCTGAACAGAGATCGTGTTTTGTGTTTTGTAAGAGGAAAAAGAACATTTATCACAAAGTAATATTTATCACACACATCAAAACGTATCAGTTAAAAAAATTAAAAACTTGCTTTTAAAAGTAAGTATGGAAATTTCTTCAAGAAATTATCATTAAATGAAAATATGTCATTGATTTAAGTTGTATTTTAAAAATTCAGTTAGAATTAATAGAACATTGGGTTTTTTTTCAGGTTTGCAGATTTTATCAGGGGTATGCTGAAACTAATTCTTCTCCTCCTGTTTTCTGGGGCTACGCTATCATCTATGTGGTTCACCCTGACCTGTTTGAACAGCATCACACATCTGCCTTTAACCACAGGTGAATATAGACTTTTGAACTTTGAAAAAATATTTTTAGTTCACAGAAGTATGTGTATTCTAACAATAGGACTTTTTCTTCCTTTCTATAAGCAATTGTTAAACATACTAAAGGGTCTTCCTTATCTAGCCATCAAATTATCATTCCATCTAAAAAGAGCTCAAGAAATAACTAAAAATATTTTCATTGGTATTTTACATATGAAAAGAAGTATAATCTTTAACCTAAGCTTATATAGCATGAAAAAGCTTACATTCTTTTAACATTCATATCAGAGCATAATACAAAGATTTTTATCTTCTTTATAGCTATTACATCATTATGAAACAGTAAGGAAGAAGAACAAAAGCAAAAGCTATGATGTTTAAAGTACCCTCCAGTAAAATTTTTGAACTAGCACCTATAGGTTTATTTTACTTTTAGTCTTAATTACATAATCAAAACAAAACAAAATTTATTAGAAATACCTATTGAAGTATATTAGAGGCAGTTTACTTAGCCATTCAGTTGAATTGAAACCTTTATAGCTGTTGTTTTTATTGTTATTAGTATTATTTGGGGGTCTATATTAGTTTTTTATGACTGCTGTAACAAATTACCGTAAAGATAGAGTGATTTAAGACAACAAGATTTTATTATCTTACATTTCTGTAAATTAGAAAGCCAACTTGGATTTCACTAGGCTAAAGTCAAAGTGTGGGCAGACTCTGGGGAAGAATCCGTTTCCTTGCCTTTTCTGTCACCTAGAGGCCTCCCACATTCCTTGGCTTGTAGCTCCCTTCCTCCATCTTTAAAGCCAAAAACAGCCTGTCAAATCCTTCTCACACACACTACATCATCTGTGCCTTTCTACTAAGGTCACATCTTCCTCTGAACTCTCACCTTCTGCCTCTTATTTTTACTTTTAAGGATCCGAGTGATTACATTGAGACCATCCAGATAATCTAGGATAATCTTCCTTTTTAAAAAAAAAAAATTAATTAATTTTTTTATTATGGTGACATTTGTTAATAAAATCCAGTAAGTTTCAGGTGTACAATTCATAGGATAATCTTCCTTTTCAAAAAAAAAAAATTAATTAATTTTTTTTATTATGGTGACATTTGTTAATGAAATCCAGTAAGTTTCAGGTGTACAATTCAACAGTAAGGCATATATATATTGCATTGTGTGTTCTCCGCCCATAGTTAGATTTCTTTCTGTCACCACATATTTGACCCCTTCTACCCCTTCTAACTTCTCCTTTCCCCATCCCGCCTCACCCTCTGGTAACCACTAACTAGTCTATTGTCCATGTCCATGAGTCTCTGTTTTTTTGTCCTGTTTGTTTGTTGCTTTTAGATTTATATCCCACATACTATCATACCTTTTTCTGTCTGGCTTATTTCACTTAGCATGATTATCTTGAGGTCCATCCATATTGTCCCAAAGTGAGCTGATTAGTAACCTTAATTCTATCGGTAGCCTTAATCCTTTTAGCCATGTGAAGTAACATATTCGTGGGTTCCAAGGATTAGGACATGAATATCTTTTGGGGAAGGGTGGGAGAAGGGGGCCATTATTCTGCTTACCACAGGATTCTTGTAAAATTACTATGACAGATTATTTTCTAACCCGAAAAGGTTCCATTATTTTTTTCTCTATTTTAACAAAAAATTGTTTAAAATGCATACGGTGTGCCTCTTTGTTTAAGGGGGACACGTTCCAAGGCCTCCAGTGGTACCTGTAAGTGTGAGGAGTATCAAATTCTATATTCACTATGTTTTATTCTATACATACATACTTTTTCACATAGAGGAAGCACTTTACAGCTTCTCTTTAGCATATTTGAATTGACAACATTACTACTCTTATGCGTTGGGGCCATTATTAAGTAAAATAAGGGCTACTTGCACACAAGTAATGCAATATCATGAGTTAATCTAATAACTGAGAAGGCTACTAAGTGACTAATGGGTGGGTAGCGAGTATAACCAGATATGCTGGATAAAGAGGTGACTCACATCCCAGGGGGGGTCAAATCAGGAAGATATGTAACAACGTGAGATTTCATCACATTACTCAGAAAGGTGTGCAATTTAAAACTTACCAGTTGTTTATATCTGGAATTTTCCATTTAATATTTTCAGACTGCAATGGACCTCAAGTAACCGAAAACACAGAAAGCAAAACTTCAGATAAGGGGGACTGCTGTGTTTTTTATTCCATTTGCACCTACATTTTGGATTATGTGTTTAATTGTAGGATTATTTGTTGTAAAGGTAGAGTGCAGGATTATAGGATTATTTGCTACAACAAGCATTTGTATGGAGTAAACAAGTCTGAAAAGTGGCTCTGCAAGGCCTAATACCCAGTGGCGTGTATGTTCCATGGGACTCCATGAGAGGAGGGTTCCTTTTGTCTACAGATAATTAAGGAATACTGCACATTCCAATTTGGACTTATGCACTGTGTACTAAAAGGACCAGCAGTTTATACAACAGAGGCATCAAATCTTTCCAAGATACCCATTTATTTGGGAGTTTCTACTACTTTCACAGTAATAACAGGGCAATAGGACAAGGCTACCCCATCCCCATGATTATCAAGTTGCTCCAAGCCAGCCGCCCTGGAATGCCACAGCAAACTCACAAGAGCAACACAGATTTATTTTAAATTTCCAAAGGAAACGGGTATTCCACATCTGTCAGATACTGTGCAAATCTCTGACTCAACAGAGTTCCCTCTTTCAGCATTAGATCCTGCTTTTTGATAACGTCCTATCTTGGCAAAGTTAGTATTTCTGCAGTTGCTGTGATATCAAAAGCAAATACCACACAAAAAATCAGTGTAGAACAGGAAACGAGGGCGGTGATGTCAATCTGATTTCAAGATTTAAGAAGCTGTGCAGTGCCCAGCAGACATACTTCCCATTAGTAAGTACCGGTGGTTATTTAAGAATAAACTAAAAATACATTTATTTCCATACATTGGTATTATTTTTTAAATAGCTACTAAATTGTTAGGACATGTATATTTATTAAATTGTTTGGACCTAACTGTGTAATTAACAGAATTATTAGCTATTTATTTTGGCCTTGGACCCCATGAAAAAATTACTGAGACACTAAGGGTGCTGAGAAGAAAGGTCTGGAAGCCTCTGCTCTGTACCATCCTGCTGGGAATTCTCCCCTCAAAGGTTTATTGCTTTTCCTGTAAAGCCCTATTGTCCAGAGTAATAATTTTTGGACAACGTGTACTTTTCATACACTAATATTCCTACGTTAGGGTTTTGAGAAATTTGGAAAGTGTTCTGGGCCAGAATTTTTATTTTATTTTATTCTGGTATAATTTCATCATTTAGCAGTTGTACAACATTCTGGTGGAACAGTTATAGTTTACAACTCTTCTCATTCGTGGCATTGCACTCGGATTTTTTTTGTGATACTGTATGTCAAGCATGCATCTGTTAGATTTTACAAGAACATTGTCATGAGTACCTAATGAACAGATTTCTTTCCCTTAAGTGTAGAATATTCATTATAAGAGAGTACATTCATTAAATTTTTATGCATTTTCTACTTAACATAAAATTAGCAGTTTTGTCTCTGGATGGAGGCACTGGGAATAAATTTAATTTTTTACCTCCTTTTTTTGTCTGGGATTTGTATAATGAACATGTTTAATTTTATAATCAGAAAAAACGTATATATTTGAAAACAATACATCTTTTTAAATCTTAAAAGAAAAGTGATGTAATTGACCCTGGTCAAGACCGTTTTTTCAGTCTGTCCTTAAAAACCATTACGCTGGATAGAAAGAAAAGCAGAATTCTAAATTAAATCAAGGCCAGAATCAAAAGGTTGAGTTTGATGTGGCCATCTTAAAAACTACTTAATTATACATTCTATTGTTGTTTTCAATTGCAAGTCAGTTTTTGAATGTCACTTAGATACTCCTGAAAGATTCATTTTTAATATTTTACGTATTTATATTTTATAAATATACTAGGTTGAGGACTAGATTTGTTCACATTTCTTCTCTTAATTATAATATATTTTTTTCTCCTTCCTGATATCACTTAAATAGTTACTTGAGTATATGTTTCATCTCCCCTACCAGTCTGAAAATCTGGAGCATGGACTTGTGCCTTATAAATTCTGACCTAAATTCCTACCCCAGTACCTATCACAACCCCTGAGTAACTAATGAATGAGTAAATGAATGAATGAAATATACATTATTTCCATTTTGAACCTCAATATATATGACTTATTGCCAATAATAGCAATTATGGCCAGTCTTTGTTATTCAGCATTAGCTGTAGGATGGCAAAAGGGCACATTTTAATGGAACAGTGGAGAATTTGAATAAATCTGCCACAGATACTCTTACTGTCTTTATAAAAATGTGACCTAATTCCTTTTAAGTAAAAGGAACTTACTACAAAATCTAATTATAGACAGATCTAGACCTTTAGGCTGGTATTTAAAGTCAGGAACTGCAAATTCGTTCCTTTTTTTTTTTTTTACCAGTCATTCTTTTTTAATCAGGAAAGTATCTAGTTATTCTCATTTCTAGCAAACTTAGTATTTCTATTACTGCTTTTCATATATCAGAAGACTCTACATGAAAAGTGTTTGAAAATATATGCATTAATTATAACCATTGACATGATAAAAAGCTAATTTTGTTCAATCCATGTGTTATAAGTGCTACTACTGCTAAAACCTTCTATTGCAATCTTTCTGAAGTCCACTGATCTTGATATTATTGTTGCCATCTCTACAGAAGAAAACTGGGTCATTCCATTCTTTGTAAAACCACGCTGTTTGATATATGTACTTACATACATCTTCTTGGAGGCTGTCAGCAGTATGCTTTTATTCCCTTAGAGAAACTCAATATTTAAAATTGTATTTTAAGCTCCTTAACTGAAGTATCTACAGTAGGACAAATAAATAAACTTGTGACTAGATAATATGAGCTTCAAAATCTTGAAGCTTATGCTGTGAATAAAATTATGAAAATACATTATTCACCTTATTCGAGAACTAGATGTCTAGCCCTGTTAGCCACAACTCATACAGTCATTTTTCACAAAACAGATGAATACGTTGAAATGGCTTTTTGAAAAATGTTAGCACTTTGGTGATGAGTTTGCTGAAACAATATAATTTGAGTGTTTAACAGAAGTTGCCTTGGGAGAGGTTCTTCATCTAATTCAAGTTACTAGGATGCCATGATGGTGAGGGTAATTAGCTAAATACAAACTCCTCGAGAGCAGTAGCTGACTACAAACTGACTTCAAGTGATATTTGAAGAAAGTATATTGAAAGGCCTGTGAGAGTAATCCTTTTAATATATTTTAACATATCCTCTTAATGTATAATCTTCTTCATGTATTTTACATTTATTAAAATAATTATGTCCCATTTTGATAGCATGCAAAGAAATAAAAACATACGCTTGCCCAAAAATGGGGGCTAAATGAGGAAATTGAGAAAAGAATGATGAACATGATTAAAGAAATACATATTATTAAGGAAATTAGGGATTTTAAGTGTTAAGGAAAGGCTAGGAGTAACTTAATTATTTTAAATTCCATGAACTAAAAGTTACTGTTACTCGTGTTCATGACTGTCTGAACAGAATGAAGAATGAAAAAATAGAACAAATTACAAGCAGAGAATAGATTTGTGAAAAACCTTAAATGTAAGAGTCATGAAATGCTCAAAGGCCTATTGAGGAAGATCATACTGTTTATCAGTGTGATTTTTCAAGAAGATATGTCTTGACGCAGAATCTGTGTTTCTTGAAGGTAGAGGGCTTGACCAGGTGATCAGTCAGTGTTCCATGATTTAATAGTACACTACCTGCTTCAGAACCATAAGTAATTCTTTAGGAGCTTGAAAGTTACTGATAAACCTACACCTATGCTATCTATTTCACAACCAGTCTCCACTCCGGGCCCACAATTAAAAAGGATTATTAGTTGTGCTTCATTTCTGCAAGATAATTACTTTGCCTTCCAGCTTTTAGAGACTCTAAACATAACTGCCAACCTTTATAGGACTAAGCTATGCCAGCAAAGAGGCTAAACAAGGGACACCACAGATTAATAACACAAAGAAAGAAAATCATCATCATTAGTGAATATTGCAGCACAATATGCCCCCATCCTCTTTTGGAACTGCAGTTTCATGCACTGCATATTTTAATTAGTGGTAGATCATGAAGCCACAGCAGTCATTTTTAGAAAGAAAATGTGAGGCTGAGAAGAGAGGCACAGCTCAGTGATATAGAAATGTATATCGGTGTATGTGTGTACAAATGTATGTATTCTGTCTATTATTCGGCATGCCCAAAACCTATGAAAAAACCGCGTAGGTAACATTGCGAATATTTACTCTTTCTCTTCATGCGCGTCTCTTTATTTCCAAAGGGAGTATTTTCACTTGCACTGTCAAGTTTAGATTGTAAGAAATATTTTTAATAAAGGTCTAATTTCCTGTTAACTTTTTTAACTTTATCATAAAATAAAAATTCAGTCAGTCTGCACAAGAATAAAAGTTTATCCAATAAAATGTATTAATGTTATAAACCTACTTTTAGGGAAATTTCTGACTTTGATCTTTAAAATAATTCATAATAAAAATTTATTGTTCTTTTATAATCCTTATTTATAACACTTCTTAATAAAACTGTAAACAAATTCTTTATTATTCTTATCTACCTAGAAGCACCTGTAAGATTTTTGTTTTTAACATCCTAGTTAAGCTCTCCTGTCTACATGTATTCAAATTTGTTTTGATCTCCTTAAATGAACTTTGGTTATCATCTGATATAACTTATTCAATAAATGCATCTCTTTCATTACAATCCAGACATATGTACATCTGACTGCAACTTGAATACCTCCCAAAAAAGGAAACACATTACCAGTCCATTGTTAGTCAGCTCTGGATTTTGGGAAATTCTTTCTCCTATTGAGATAACTGATTTGGAACAACACAGCTTCCACAGAGCAAATCAGCTCCACTAATGGCACTCAAAACATTTGAAGATATTTGTCATGTCTAGCCTTGGCCTTTAAACATCCCCGAGTTCTTACAACCTTTTCTCATTGGACATGGATTCCACACCACTGACCACCATAGTTGCTGTCTTCTAAGCCTACCGTAGCTTGTCATTGTCCTTCTCAGACTGTTACTAGAATTTAGCACACTTTTCCTGCTTCACTCAGCACCCGGTATTGTGAGGCCCTTGTTTCTAGTGCTTAGACATAGCTTCTTCTAGGAAAATGGTGTATAATTATCTTCTTATCACTGTGCATATAAATGGCTGCTGAGCAAATAGTTATCTATCATGTTCCTTTAGATTAGGAGAGATTTGAGGATAGAATATGTCTTATTCTAGCAAAGCAGCTTACATATAATAGGCTCCTGATAAATGGTTTTGAAAAGACTTAAGCTAAAGTTTTCCCTTTTATACATCTAAGCATTAATTTTTTGGACCCATTTTATATTTATCATGATTAAAGTTCATCTCTTTCTTCGTAACCTTTTGGTGCTTTATTTTTGATTTTGTCATCTGTCTTATGTGCAGTCACTTCCAGCTTTGTGCTGAATACAAATTTGGGAAGCATGCCTGTTATGTCAATACCACTGAATAAAAGAAATTAATTTTTTTTCCAGTCTGACACAGTGGCTTCATAGAAAATATGCTAGATTCTGTAGGCCTTAATTATATTATTAACACTGCTGACTCATATTTCTAAATAAGTTGTTTTGACTTGCAGAACTTTGGTCAGTTAATCTGTAAAATACCTTACCTATCTCAAAGAGTTGGTAGGATGATCAAATATGATAATATATTTGAAAGCATTTTCAAAAAATGTTTTTAAAATTAAATAAATCCAAGATTAGAAATTGTTATTGTTATTGATGCTATCTTGAGACTCTCATTAAATATTGAGTGGAAATAGTTTCTATTCTTACCTGAAATCTTGTGATTTGTTTTATAACTGCTAATCATCAAGGTTTGAACATTCTGGTTAATAAAAATGTATTCATACATAGTTTTATTTCCCAAAAGTTTAGTAATTTGGTTTATTACGGGCTGTAGGGATTTGGGGAGCGGTATTTTCAGGGTTATGATCCAATTCATGTTCTTGAAACACATCCATTATAATTGTATTTTGTGCTACACAGGACTGTGTGTTTTTTGCAATTTAAATTATGGGCCTGTGAATTTTATTAGCTTCTTTGGAGGAACTCTACATCAGCATTGTGTTTGTTCTGCTAAATTACCTCGACTTTTTAATTGAAAGGCAGTTTGTTATAATTTTAGTATCAGTACTCTAGAAAGTCATGGAAATATTTAATGATCATGTAGTTTGAACCCTCTCTGACAAGCAGGAAATTATCTTGTCTGCCTGACTTTTAATAGATGACATTCACCCACTGGATCTGCCAAACCAGTGTATAAAGACACTGTATCAGACTCTAAACTGAAAACTCAAATGGAAGTCAAATCCAGACTCTGAATAATCAGTTTCTACTTTATGCACGCCCCAGAACACTGGGGAGGAATATATTACATCAGTCCTGACACAACTACCTTTCCCCAGTTCTGAATGTGAAGATCTTAATTTAACCCTTTCTCGTGTAAATTATTTTGATTCTTTAGTTTCTGCAATAAAAACTGATTTCAGCTCATCCATCCAGTGTAAAACAACTTCTTGGTCATCATTTTTATAGTAATACAAGAAGCAAACATCAAGAGTAAGAGAATTAAATGAAAATAATCACTTTTTGATTACTGGTCTCAAGTTATATCATTCATCACAGCCTATTTATCCTACGTCTAATAGGAATTCTAATAAATGAAGTGGAGATGTTTATGTCAAAGATCCTGCACTAGGCCTGGTTATGTGGCTCCCCTGGTTATGTGTAGACATCAGGTCTATGGGTCAACTCATCCCATGATAACCATTTCTGAGTCAGTGAGCTAACAAACTTGCATGAATCAACTACCAATTCATTATTTCATTACCAACAAAATTTCTCTCTTTTTTTGTTGTTAAATAGTTAAGATATCTACATAATAAAAAAGTCAAATTCAAATAGTAGATGAAAGGTATACAATGAGAAATGACTACCCTCCTGTGGCCCCCAATTTCCCTCTCTAGAGGCAACCCTGAATGTCAGTTTCTTGGACATTTTTGCCCAAAGAATTCTATATATTTACAAATGTGTGTGTATCCTTTTAAAAATATAGCATACTTTTCTACATCTTTTTTACTTACATATCATAGATGTCATTAATATCAGCACATACAGAGCTACTTCATTATTGATGGTTATATAATATGACTTTGTTTCGATGTTTGATAAAGTTTTACACAACCAACCCCCTATTGGTGGACATTTAGCTTGTTTTTAATCTTTTCATACTACAAACTATTGCATTTTGTGTTTTTTATATAATTGTACCTGCACAGCTATAGGATAAATTCCTAGAACTGGAATTTCTGGGTCAAACGATAAGTGCATTATTTATTTTGATAGACATTTTCAGACTACCACCAGAATTTGAATTTTAGTTCCATCAACAGTGTTTAATCACAATAGAAATTTCATCTTTCCAATGACAAAGGTTTTCTGTTCCTTCCCTAGAATTTAGCTACCGAGGAAACCAAAATCAGAAGATTGGTACTGAGCATGAAATGAAGCCACGGGATTTGCATGGCCATGTGGGGGTTTTCAGACAGGGCCCCTGCTTCCCCCTGCCGCCTTCTCTCTCTATATCATGCTTGATAAAAATCAATAAAATCAAATCTGTCTTTTCAAGACTTCGTTAGTCCCCTTTCAGTATGTCCTCATCATTATCATTCTTTTATAATTTGCAATTATTTTATTATATGCAAATTATGATTCTTTTTCGGGTATTACACTTTGATTTGCCTGATTACAAATTACATGTGAGAAATATGTGTTGAAGGATTATTTCCAAACATAGATCCTAAAAAAGGGTAATTTCATCACTGGTTTGTGAATTCTTACTTAAAAGTAGCACTTTCTGGTCCTTAAGAGTTTGCTTTTCCCTGTCATTTATTTCAGTGTTGTCTTGTTTTTAATTCCTGGGCTCATCTGTGTTTGGGTCAGTAGCCATCTCTGCTCTGATTGCCAACTGACCAATAAATTATTATAAAGTATTTTGTAGGTAGAATATTCTATGAAAGCTACCGGATATATTCCATCCCTACATTTCCTAATGGACCACTAATGAGTCATGTGTTAAACAGATGTGTTGATTGATTTACATGATCTACATGTAGCAAAAATACAGTGAGCATCAGGTGTTGGATTTTGTTCTGTTTTTAAGAATCTCTTGAAAATTACTTCATGTTTTAAATGGTATTTATTATAAGTATCAGATGCTTTCCATTTAATTCTGTAGATAATTCGGTCACTGGTTCAGCCAGCAATATGTTCTTTATTCACTGTCATCCTCATGTTCTCTATTTTAATATGCGTCTTCTATTCAAAGAAAGAGTAATCACCAGCTATTTATGTTATTAGAATGTACTAAATATTTTTTAATCCTGAAAGACCAGTATAATTAGAAGAGAAAATAAGAATAGAGGTAAATTGGAGGAATCCTATTAGAAAACAGTGGATGCTATTTGTTTGCCCCTTCAGCAATGTCATGGACTGTTGATTATTGTAATCAATTATGATAAATTCTGTGAATAATACATAACAGGTTTAGGGTAACTCCCTCATTTCTTGCATTTCCTGTACAGAAAATGTTTTCTTAATAAATGTTTTTATTAAAAATATTTTCCTGGTAACCTTAAGCTTAGAATAAATTTTACTCATTATCATTAGGGTATGATATACTTATCAGTCTATATAGGAGGTATGTTTTAGATTTCTAAATGAGATATTGTTTTTTCCTCATTGGTTCTGTTTTCACCTTTAAATTAAAATTAATGAAAGTTTGTATGCAGACATTAAAATTATTTGGAGTTGGGTGCATTTCTCTAAACATTCTTCTAAGAAGAATGTCCTTATTCAAAAATTTTACTATAAAGTATGGCTAAATAGGCTTTTTATTGGCTAATCTGGGATCCTAACCAGTATTAATTATGTATTTCTGGGTGAAAATTTTTTCTGTGTTCCAAAAAGTTACAAATTTTTAAAAAACTTGATACAAAACAAATTCCAAAATTGAGAACTAATTTCATTTTAAGTGTTCCTCCAGAAATTACATACTGAATAATTTTTATTTTGTGCTTGAGGGCTATTACTAACCAGTCTCTTTAAATATGTAATATTCAGTAACATTTAATGTTTCTTACATTTATTCTTAGAATTTAAGTTCTCTTTAAAATTATAAAATAAGTCTAGATTTCTAATTAAGTTGCTATATTTTATCTATCCTTCTATTTGCCAGGAGTGCGACTAAGGGGGAAGAATCCTTTTAATTATATTATTATGGTAAAATTGTTTCTGTGCTTTGGAATAATCCACCAAAAAGATAAAGCACATAAACTGGTAATCATCCAGCAACAAAATCTTTTCCTCTCTACTCCACAAACCTGAACAAAAAGCTGACAGATATATGCTGCTTTGTCAAACTTTATCAACTGCCATTGAAAAAAGATGAAATTGCAGAGTTGATATTTATAAAAGAGAAGACCCAGAAGATCTATCTGATATGACTCACTGCTGCTACTGAAAATCTAAAATGTTTGTGTTTTTATTTTAGTGACATTGTATGCCTCCTGTATTCTCCTGGGAGTGTTCTTGAATAGCAGTATACCTATATTTTTTGAGCTTTTTGTGGAAACTGTCTACCCAGTTCCAGAAGGGATTACTTGTGGAGTTGTCACTTTTTTAAGTAATATGTTCATGGGAGTACTTTTATTTTTTCTCACATTTTATCACACAGGTAAGAAATCTGACTCTTTGTTTACTACCTAAATGTGTTATGAGAGAGGTTTGTGGCATTGCTATACAGGGAATTTATATGGAGAATTCTCAAGCAAAGTACTTTATTTAAGCTTTCACATGCCAATAAATGAAAATATCTTCAGTTATTTCTTTTTTTGAAATGCCTCATCTAATGCACCCTCATCCTCTAGAATTTCTGATTTAATAAACTCGGACTGGAGCCTAGCATTTATTTATTTGTTTTTTAGAGCTCCCCAGGTGATTCTAACATGCAGATTTTCATTGAGAACCGCTAGCATATTGATTTTTCAAAAAATGCTTAAAATCTACTTTCTTAACTATGGTATAGATTAATGTTAAGGGTGCATAGTTTTAAAGCTTTGGGAATGCATGAGAAGTCACCTAAAAAGTGTATAGAGTGTATAGAACAACACTGTCCAATGGAACTTTTTAGGATAATGGAAATATTCTTTATCTGTCCAATACAGTAGCTACTGGCCACTTGAAGCTAGTGCAGCTAACAAACTGGGTTTTTTATTTTATTTCATTTTAATTAATTTAAGTTTACATTTAAATAGCTACATGTGGTCAGTGCAGGTATAGAGTGAAAGGAAGGTTGAAGTTAGAACCCAGGAGTACACTTTGAAGAAGAGAGAAATCTTTTACAAAAGAAAGGATGGGGTCTTAAACCCAAGTGGAAGAGTTCGCCATGGACAAAAGGAGATGGGAGAGAAGGCAGAGTCAGCGGACATAGAGGCAGAGATACCTTTGCTGGGCAGTTTTTGGGTTTGTTTGTTTTTTTTTTTTTAATTTTTTTAGTGGCATCTTTTTTTTTTTCCCCCACTCATTCTAATCTTTTTCTTTTTTACATTTAATTTTTTAATTCTTTTTTTTCCCTCTCCCCTCTGGTAACCACTAGTCCATTGTCTGGGCAGTTCTTGATGGCACCACTTTTTTATTTAGAAGCCAGTTCATCTATTAAGAGCCGGTGGGAAGAAAATGGAGAAAGAGCTTAAGGAGAGAATGTAACTTTAAAATAACCTTTGAAGGGGCGAGAGGAGACACTGTAGGGACAGCTGGGAGATTGCTGGGCATGTGGAAGGCAAGTCTGTCTGGTGTTGGAGTCCATGGGTTTACAGTGGCTCCATTTTGCACAGTTGTTTGATTTTCTCTGATAGTCTCTCTTCTGTGATACAAATTCTGTCTTACTATTTCAGAAAATTTGGGCATAATCATCTAGGATTTTTTTGCATGTTAAAATAAGAATTTATACTTGTGATTCTTGAATATAAAGTTTCTATTAATTTCTGCTAGGTTTATATCCCATTTTGTGCCCTCATCATAAATAGTCTAATATTATTACCTTTGTTTCCTCTGGTTACTGTTCTTCTAACTGCACATCAAAGTCCAGTAAATTTGGATAATATGGAAGAATCTAATTTATATGATTCAAATGTAAGAAATGCTCTAAAATGTAATGCTCCAAGAGGCCTGATTGTTTATAGGAAATTTTCCGACAGTAACCTCCTTGGCTGGGAAATAAATATTTAAAACTTTCAACCTTGATGAAACAGAATCTGCCCTGAATTTTGGACAACTTTTGGCATAGCACTGTCATCTAACAGCAAAAAGCATCCAAATGATATATTTATTTCTTAATGTAATTAACAACAAACCAGATTATTTCTATCAATCAGTAATATGGATAAAGTACGTGTTAGCTTTGCTAAACTTGATGTGTTTGGCTTATCATATGAAAGACAGTGATATTAGTGATATTAAATGAAGTCGGACCACTCTTTACTGTCCTTTCATCAGGGAAAATGCCATCAGCAGGTGTTGGACTAAGGTCTTTGCTTCTAGTGACTTTTTTTTAGCAGAATCACCCAACAATCATTATATATGAGCCTTAATCCACTTCAGTTATGTCACAGTTGCAGTTTAGTGCCTCTCTTTTGGTTGGTAAAGTATTAGAGATGGCTGTGTTGCCCCTTCAGGCGATAGAAACAGTTTTCTAGCTCATAGGCACAGGTTTGCTAAGTGATTCTTGCAGCTTAGTAGAGTGTGGTTTTTCCTGTCTGCTGGAAATAGTTTTGTCCTCCCAATATTTAAAGACAGTAGATGACAGATAATGTTATCCCCAATGAACCTCTTGCATGTGGTCTCTAGAATATCACACGTATTTACTGATCAGTTTAGAGCCCAATGCAGTCCTGATCATTTCACTGTCCTAGATCCAGTGGCAGCTTTCAGTTTGTTCAAAAGAGCCTGGCATCTGGCATGAATTAACCGGAACTGACAGCAGTCAGTGCTCACTTCTCATTTTGCAGATGTAGAGTAACCAGATACAAGCAGATATTTTTGTTTCTTTGACATAGGTGGCAGAAGAAACACTTAGCACCATTTCTGATACTTCCTGTCTCACTGAGTATAATCAAGGATTTATGTAGCTGAGGGAAAAAAGCTTCCCTCTTTTTGGTTGGTTTCTGATCACATGTTCTTATACGTATCTGTATAGATGTTAAAGGTTTCTGCCCAAACTCCATGAATATTGTGAAAAATGAAACTTTAAATAATAATTCATTTTAATTTAACAAAGCGATTTTCAGGAAAAAAAACTCAACACATTTTGACATTTTAGAGAGTTAATGAGAAGTTATATGTGAAAGAGCCTACCCCAGGGCACAACTGGCACTCACCAAATGTTTATTTTGTTTTCTTCTTGATAATTAGCTGGTCAGTATTAAGAATTTAAATATCTAGGTTTATATTTTAAAGAAATACTTTTATATGTTTATTTGTGAGTGTGTCTAATGAATACACACAAACATACCTTGCATCTCTCTAAGGCTAAGATTACTAGAACTATGAAAACGGTGTTGCGTTTCTTTCACATATGATGTTGCCCCAAAGTCCTATAGCCAAAGACCACATGTCTCATATCTGAGGTACGAAGGTACCTAAATTGCGAATCGGAAAATTCTGTAAAATTATTTCCTAAAAATAACCTTTAGTTCCACAGCCTAGTACCCTAAACATTTTTTTATGATAAATTGGATTCCCTTTCATTAGAGCCAGTGTTCAAATGTCATAATTTAGTCATTTTAAAACTTGAAAAACTCAGAGGATAAGTTATACGTCATAATTCAACTATTACTTACATGATTGGAAGGCCTGATTTTTAATCATTGTTAAGGGCTGTGGTTTTTTTAGGTCACTAATCAAAGAAATACTAACCTTCCTGTCTAGAGTTTTTATTTCTCCACAGTGTGCTATCTAGTAGGTGATTGTATCAGAGACAGTTTTTCAGGGCTGTACAGACTAACCTCAAAATAACAACATTAGATTGGCTTGCCTAGCAAGAAAGGCTCTAGTGGTGATTTGCTTGCAGATTATGGCCATCACCATCATTGATAGCGAATGTCACACAGGCCTCTGTACCAATGCCACTGGCTTTTTTGGAGCCCTGGGTCCCAAGTCCTGTTTTGATTCTGCTTTAGGTACTTGGGACAGTATCAGAAGTTTCTTAGATTTCTGACTTGAGTTTTTCATGGTCACTTTCAAAAGAAATTATTACTTGCTCCCTAATATAAGCATATTTGTAAAACTGAATTGTTTCCTATGTTTGCTTTGAGAATCTCAGTGAGTTATTTCAGACAGCAGAGTGGTTTTACTCAAATAACTTCACATATGAAACCAATTTGGGAATGCTGATATATTTTTATATGCTTTGCAATGTGTTCTAATGTTCTATTTTATAGTTTGTAACTTATTTTGAAGTTTGTATTATCTGGGGTTTTTGTTTCTCTAGTAGGTTTGCAGCAGGTTTTGGCTAAAATCATTAGTTTTTTTACCTCAGTCCTTTCATTTTGAAGTAGCTAAG